GTGTGTGTGTGTGTGTGTGTGTGTGTGAGAGAGAGAGAGAGAGAGAGAGAGAGAGAGTGTGTGTGTGTGTGTGTGTGTGTGTGTATTTATTTATTTTTTTTTTCAGGGGCAGTACTGGGATTGAAACCAGGGGCACTTTACCATTGAGTTTCATTCCCAATCCTTTTTTTTGAGACAGAGTCTTGCTAAATTTCTGGGGCTGGCCTCAGATTTGTGATCCTCTTGCCTCAGCATCCCAAGTTCCTGGGATTACTGTGTTTGGCAAGGACTATACTCAGTGAACCTTGCTGAGAAAGGGAACCTATTGACCCCTGGGAGAAAATTCACTGAAGTTACTGAGTTCTATGAGCAGATCTCAGAAACAAGGGCTGAGGATTAGGACAATGGTTCCAGACACAGAATGGTGACTACTAAAATCCTTCCCTGATAAGTTTTTCTGCTGGCAGATATATATTCTGATGAGAGAGTTATGTGTTACAGTATGGTCCAATTAAACCTCTAACATCTATTGGTTTGGACAGAGTTGCCCTGAGACATTTCAAAAAGATAAGCTCAGAGRAGGGAGAGTATTTTCCCTAGTACTAAAAAGAAGGTAAGCCCTAAGAGCTTGGGGAAATAGGAAATGCTGGAGTGTGACAGTCTGAGAGCTGAGGTGGAACAACATTAGTGTGAGCAGTAGCCAATAGACAGGGGACTTTTACAAGTTACTGGGTAGCAAAGGGAGACTTACAAGGGTCTCTAGTTACCCACGCAAGGAAGCACCTATGGAATTAGTGAAATTTGCCTGTTAATATGACCTCATTTGTAGTTACAGGCTAGAGACCCCTGTGGATATTTGAGTTATATGTAAATGATTTCAGCATTTGCCCAACCTCCACCCTATCCCCATTCCCCATCTTCATTCCAGGATGATTCTGGGTTTATTTTAAGCATTTAGTTTTGTTTTGTTTTTTACATGAAGGCAGACAGGCTGCACAGCCATTGTTTTTGGACTTTCAGACCTCAGGACCTTATGCTGGTACCACTTCTACCTCTACTTAACAAGGGATAAACAGCAACCTGGTGCCAGGAGTAAGGGAATCTGAATTCTTCTTCAACAAATATTTACTGAACACCTACTTCGTGTCAGATACTGGTAGGTCCTGGAGATGGAGATGAGTATCTATGGTCTCTGAGCTCCAAAGTAGTTTACTGAGAGAGATCAGCAAATAGAAAATAATGGCATAATGGAGTAAGTGCTATGATGAGCAAAGAATCTACTTTTTTTCTTAAAACACCAGAGGAATCTTCGTAACACTGTTATAGAGCTGGGGCCTTCTGGGAAACTGYTCTTACAATCAAGTCAGAAAGATTTCAGGGTAACAGGCAACAGTTTATTAAAGAGATAGGAAAAGGGAAAGCAGCACTCAGTCAAGAGAGAGAGTGGGTCCTCTCAGAGATGATAAGGGACAGTGTGCCTCTTTCTGCATTCCAATTTTGTTGGGGATCCCAGAGAAGTTTCCAGGCAGTCCCACCAACATGATTTTTGACTGACAGCAAAATGRCATTACTTTCAAGTCCCCACTGCCATGACAACTCTAGGTCACTTTGGCCCATGATGATTGATTCTAATTGGATTCTTAATTTTAAATTCTTACAGATTTTATGATTAGGAGGAATTGTCCTTATCTCCCTAAATTTCAGGATCTGGTCTGTGAAAAAGCACACAAGTCTCCCCCTTCAAGTAGCTTGGGTTCCTCTCATCAACATTATTTTGGGTCTGCATTTCTCCTGTGGTTAACAGGTAGTTTGTTGAGGAATGCATGTGCCTGTCCACTTAAGTCAGGTAAAAAGAAAGCATGGGAGGATGTGGGGGAGTCAACAGAGTGGGCTTGTTTCAAAGAATTATTCCCATAACTTCATGTTTCATTTGTAKCTGTCTGTCTCCTAATAGCACTGTCATAATTCAGCTAGTCACTCTAGCCAGACACTTCTCTGGGTCTTATATATAGAATTCCAGCTAGCAAATCCTAGAATTCTACTTACCATATTCATATTAAAAAGTATAGTAATTTTATTTATTTACCAGTATAGGACTTGAACCCAGGGGTACTTTATCATCAAGTCATATCCTCAGCCCTTTTTATTTTGATCAGTTGCCAGGATGGCCTCACACTTGTGTCCTCCTGCCTCAACCTCCAAGTAGCTGGGATTACAGGCACACAACAAAATTAATACATTTTAATAACAACTATACCTCAAAAGAACAAGTTCCCAGAGGCTATAGTGATAGGAAATCAGATTCTCAAAACACTTGCTAAAAGTTCCAGAAATTCTCCTGCCCTCTGAGAAGCTTATGAACTAAGGGGAATGAAATCCACGTTGTGAAGAAATGCCCAAAGCTGACTCAAGAAAGAAAGAAAAAAAAAAAAAAAGCGATCTCAAAATCTTGGACCCTGGTAGTAGTAGCACACACCCACCTGTAACTCAGGTCCTTGAGGCAGAATTGCAAGTTTGAGGCCAGCCTCAGCAATTTAGTGAGACCTGTCTCAAATTTGCAAAAAAAGGGTTGGGGATGTTAGTTCAGTTCCTAGTACCAAACAAATGTTGGACCCACCCCCCAGCTCCTGGATCCTTTACAGAAAGAACAGACTGGGTAGAAATGGATCATGCTCAGTCCATGTGGCTTCTTGACTCCATGCGGGGGTGGTGTGTGTGTAGATGACTTGTTTTTAAACAAATCTCTCCTTTCCACTTGCACTCAAAATTGCACTTGATTCTTTTACATGGAATTTTTGGCATTTTTTTTTTTTWAACTGGAGATTGAACCCAGGGGTCCAAAACCACTGAGCTACACTCATGTTTTTATTTTTTAATATCTTAGTTGTAGATGGATACTACACCTTTATTTTGTTTATATTTACTTTTACTTGGTGTTGGGGATCGAACCCGGGGCCTCACACATGCTACCCGAGGGCTCTATCAACCCAGCCGCCTTTTGTTTTGAGACAGGGTGTCACTAAGTTGCTTAGGACCTCAGATGCAGAGGCTGGCCTTAAAGTTGTGTTTCTCCAGCCTTATCCTCCTGAGCCCTTGGGATTCCAGGCCTGCGACACCGTGCCCGGCTCTGGCGTTTTAAATACGATAACCTACTTCAGTASGTGACCACCTTCAAATACGCAAAACCTGCCCCAAACCCATGTACGTGAGACTAGGCGGCCCAGAAAGASGACGCAGCCACTGACTGCTAACTCACTTCCGGGGCGGTCCAGCACCTCGGCCGCCCGTCCTGCCCCGACAGGAAGTATTTTCTGCGCAGTCTCTGCAGTAGCCCCGTCTTTTGCCTCTGTCCTGACGGAGGCGGGACTTCCTGTTTCGTGTTCCCTGGGACCTCCAAAGGGATACTAGGACTGAGAGGGAGAATGTCTAAGTCCTGTGGCAACGGATCAAGCAGTGCATTAGTTGGGGCCTGCTGCCGTAGTTCTCACTGATTCGTGCAGTTATCCACACTCTCTTCAAAGGCGCTTTCAGGCGGCCTTGGTGTTCTGAGTACGCAAGAGTGTGTGTCCGCAGGTCGAGAAAGGGCATGGAGGAGCCGCCACCGGCTCCCCCGAGCTTCTTTTGCAGGGCACGGCGTCCTTCCCCCCGAGTCTTTGCTGCCGGAGCTGTGGCTGCCGACTCGGAATCTCTGGTGGAGAATCAGAAGTTGCCTTCCTTAGTCCRAGAACCCTATTACCCGGAATCCGGTTGGGATCGCCTCCGGGAGCTGTTTGTCAGAGAGTAAAAAATGCCCAGGGTCTGTGGGGAGGGGCCACTTAAGAGTTAGCCTGGGGCCAAGAACCCAGGGGTGGTGGTTTATTTTTAAGTGAGATTAGAGGTTCTAATATTTGTGGAAGAAGGTTGTATCTTGACTTTGCCATTTGATAGTTGATTGATAGGTTTTTAATGTTAAGGCTCACTCACTGAAAGAGCTCCTAGGGATGGATACTTAGGTACATAGGGATGTATTCCTATTGAAATCAGTGCCCTAATTTTACAGGTAAGAAAAGTTAGGCCAAACTAGAAACTACAGACATCCCTGTCTGCAGAAATCTACTCCAATATTCTTTTTTGTATTTCATTTGATCCCAGACTTGTTGGTATTTCATGACCAATAATGTTCCTTCACCGCCCCTCAAGTGGAGATTGAAGAGGGCCAGAGAAGGTTGTCAGTTTTTTATTTTGCCTAAGGAAGAATTAAACAGTATCAACTATTGGGTTGTTGTTTTTGTTCTGTGCTTAGAATGAGCTCAGAGCCTTATTCTTGCTAGGCAAACATTGTAACACTGAGCTAAACCAGTGTAGTGTTTAGCTACACCCTTCTGCCATTTCTCATCATCTTATAGAAGAAAAGATAACTAGATTTTAAAATAGAAGATAACCCTTTAGATTGGATTTATTTATAATAATTCAAAACACTTAATTCATTAAATTATTAATCACTTGTGAAAAGATTACCCTATCATGAAGTAATTTACTATACTACGCTGTTATCAAGGGGTTAAATTAAAATTGAAGCTTTATAATATTGCGGAGATAGTTGTAGCAAGGGAACTGACAGACTTGTGTTTAATTATTTTATTTAGGCTTCATCTTGGGGCCTTGCTGAGTTGCTGAGGCTGTCTCTCAACTTGTGATCCTCCTGCCTCAGCCCTCTGAGTTGCTGGGATTACAGGCATGCACCACCGGGCTTGGTAGCATTTTGGATAGTTCTTCATAGTGTTTTGGATAATGTCTCAACATGTTATCTTTTTGATGTTTTAGTGAACAACAGAGAATTTCAAAGGAACTTGAGAATATCTATAGGGCAGCAGCTTCAGCAGGCATCATTGGCTGGGCATATGGTGGAATACCAGCTTTTATTCATGCTAAACAACGCTACATTGAGCAGAGCCAAGCAGAAATTTATCATAACCGGTTTGATGCTGTGGTAAGTACTGGTGATTTAAATAGTAYTTAGGGGCATACAAACTTAGCTATTTACACTTAGTCATTCTGTTAGGTTGTAGTTTAGGAGGGTTTTTTAAAAATCTAAATAACAACAGAAGTCCTAATGCTGATGTGTAATGTGTATACATTGTTTATTAGACTTCTTCAAAATAGGCATATAGGATCACAACTATGACTGGGATTGAACTTCTCCAGCCCTTTTTATTTTTTATTTGTAGACAGGGTATTGCTTGATTGCTGAGGCTGGCGTTGGACTTGATATCCTCCTGCCTCAGCCTCCATGGTTGCTGTCATAAGCATGTATCACTGTGTCCCAAGAAAAGTTTCTTTTTTTAACTTTTTATTTTGAAGTCATCAGGCTTAAGGAAAAGTTGCAAAAAATAGCACAAGATTCCCTACATACCTTTCATCCAGATTCTGTAAAATTTAATGTTTTACCATGTTTGTTTTATCATTCTCTCTGTATAATAAATACTATTTTTTTTTCTGGACTGTTTGAGAGTAAGTTATAGTCATGATAAATAATTTAGTGTATATTTCCAAAAGCCAAGGCCATTTCTTATAAAACTAGCTTATAATGATCAAATTCAGGAAATTAATATTGTAGTGGACCATTATTTACATAAGGTCTGTTACCTTATTTACATAAGATCCACTATTATATGTGGACCTTATGTAAATTTTGCTAGCTCTTCAGCTTATCTCATTTATTTAAAAAGTAAAGAAAAATTTTTATCTGATCTAGGACCTGTAGATTACATGTTAAATTTGTCTTTTATGCCGCTTTTTAGTTTCTTTTAGTCTGGAATTATTTCTCTTTCTTTGCCTTTTCTGACCTTGACAGTTTTGAAGACTGTGGATCATATATTTTGTAGAATGCCCTTCAATTTGACTCATGCTATACTTTTTTGGCAGGTTACCCTATTGATACTTATTATTAATTGATACTGTATTCTCAGCACAGTTGATCAGAAGCACATGATATCAATTTATCCTTTTACTGGTGATTTTTACTGTAGTTACTTGGTTATGATGATATCTGCCAAGTTTAGCCACCATAAAATTACTGTTTTTTCCTCTCTCTAATAGAAAGTATTTTATAGATACTTGTTAGACTTTTTGAGATTAGTAAATATTCAATTTTTTWAATCTAATTTTGGCATTCAATTCTTGCTTGAACTAGTTATTATTGTGGTGGTTGCCAAATGGCCATTTTCTAATCTCATCATCCTTTTGTGTGGGGGGGGGTACTGGGGGTTTGAACTCAGGATGTGAAGGGTGTATGACCCCCCAGTTGTTTTTTTTTTTGGTTCCAAGGMTTGAACTCAGGGGCACTTGACCACTCACTGAACCACATCCCCAGCCTTTTTTTTGTACTTTAGGGTCTCAGTGAGTTGCTTAGCACCTTGCTCTTGCTAAGGCTAGCTTTGAACTCAAGATTCTCCTGTCTCAGCTTCCCGAGCCGCTGGGATTACTGGTGTGTGCCACTGGGAGTATTTTTTTTTTTTTTTTATGAAGAACATGTCTAATACTGATTTATGTCTGTCATGGTGTTTGCCAGTTAGATTCCCTTAGATACTTAGTTGATGGATTACTTGCAATTGACATTGGCAGTTCTGTTTCTTTTCCATCTCCTGATAAAACAGGATGCACAAGAGACTTATTTAAACCTTAGTACTTAAAGAATGATAATTCTAGAGATTTTTATGTTATTTCTGTTATGGGACAGACCTCTCAGAAAATATACCAAGTCCATTTTGTCCGAATTGGAGAGTCTATTTAGCTGGCTGGCCTGCAACTGCTCCCCGCAGGACCCATAACTGTCTGTTCAAGGAACAGCATCAAGCCTGAGCATTTCAGGTTCTTTAAAGGCAAAAACTGCAAAAACCACATCCGGGTTGATATAGCTGCAAACAAGCAGGGGTACAGAAGCTGAATTCAGCAGTTAGCATAACAATGCAATGGGTACATTGGTATTTCCCATGGGACTTTTAGGTTGGCATAGCAGCAAGCAAGCAGAAGGGAAGTGGGTCGAAATGACCCTACTTGAGTATGAGTTAGAGAATGGTTACTGGTGTCTAGACAGTCAGTCTCTGACAGGCAGGGTACATTGCCCAAGAAAAATGGGAACCAAAGAAAGAACAATTTTACATTGAATGAGAATTGCCATTTTGTGTTGCCAAACATGCTATGCTAAGCAACTCTTGATAGAGGCAGAGTGTTCCCGTGGGAGAAGCATTTCTTATATGACATGGAGTCCCAGGGTAAAATGGAGCTGTTTGGTCATTGCCCATATAGCCTGGCCCATAACAATTTCTATCTGACTAATTTATAGCTGGCATTCCTCCTGCCCCCATAATTTTTAGAATAAGGAAAGCATCAAGGTGTTTTGGAATCTCACAGCTTTTTTATAAACTTTAGCAATGTGCGCATCGTGCTGCCACACGAGGCTTCATTCGGTATGGCTGGCGCTGGAGTTGGAGAACTGCAGTGTTTGTGACTATATTCAAGTAAGTTATCTGAGTTTTGAGAGAGAGTCTTGAAATTTTTGTAGTGCATCTTTTGAGATTATAAAAAACATGTTGAAGGGATTCATAATGCCTTTTTCTCAAGAACTTTTGTTTATGTAAGAGGTTGATCCAATTGTAGTTTTTGGTATAACTGATAGAGGTCTACCAACTAGTATCAAAATACATATAAGGTTCCTAAGAAAGAGAAATTTCAAAACCTTTCTGTTTCAATTTTTTATGTTTTTATTTCTGAATATTCAAAAATTTTTCATCATTTATTGATGATGATGATAATGGCTATAAGACTATTAAAATCAAATGGAATTTTATTTTTTAAAAAAAGGGATGGGGGAAAAATAAAACTAATAGTTTGAAAAATGAGACAATTACCTTTAATGTTGTACTCAGGGGCACTCTACCACTAAGCTACATCCCCAGCCGTATTTTGTATTTTACTTAGAGAAAGCGTCTCACTGAGTTGCTTAGCTCCTTGCTTTTGCTGAGCTGGCTTTGAACTCAGCCTCCCAAGCCACTGAGATTATAGGTGTACACCACCACACCCAGCAATAAATGTTTCTTAACCTAACAACTATAGGTTCATGTGTTCTGGAGGCAGGAAGAGCTTGAGGGAGGAAGACAGTGATTTTTCTTTTGAATTTCAATAGAATTTATTCTAACCTGCTTAAGTTTTAAATTTCTTTGTCTTTTTCCTTTTGGCTTTTTCTCTTTTGATGTGACAGTAGTTTAATATGGCTAATTTCTAGCTGAATAGACCAGAATGTTTTTTTTTTTCCCTCAAAAAAAAAAAAAAGATTCGGTTTTGTCATACCTATCATTTTAATGAGAACAGCAGTCAAGAAGGTAAATGGGATATGCTTTGAATTGTATGCTTTTCTTCCATCCCAGCTCAGTGAACACTGGATTAACTGTGTACCGAAATAAAAATGCTATGAGCCATTTTGTCATTGCAGGAGGTAAGACATTTTTGTTGTTTTTCAACCTCAAATTTGGCTTAGAAAATATGTAAGGACTTGCAGATCAGAAGTACTGAGTTCTTTGGTTGGCTTCATATCGTACTTCATTCAACATTCAATACAAACGTGTTTATGGACAGCTTTGGGTTTGGCCCTTGGTATGCTTAGTGAATAAACAGATGAGATCCTTTTCTTTTTCATTGAATTTTAAAGTCTCATGAGGATGGGAAAAAAACAGGTTCCTGTGATAGGAAGCATCAAATACATAGGACAAGGGGATTTAAAGTGAAGTAGGTGGTCAGAGAATGCCTTTCTGAGAAAGTTAACATTTAAGCTGACATCTGAAGAATGTAAAAAAGAGCAGCAGAAGTATCAAGGGGAGGACTCTATGGCAATAAAGTTCCTTAGAAACAGGTTAATGTGGTTCAAACATAGTGAAGGGAAGAGTAGCTTGGGATGAGACTGGTCATATGAAGTAGCAAGAACCATATTTTCGTGGTAAGAGTTATGATTTTTCTTTTAAAGCTTCTTCCTCTACTAGATATGCCCTTTTTAAAGTGTTCATTAAAAATGGAGAATAGAATGGTGATTACCAGGGATTGGAGTTTGGGAGAATTGGGAAGATGTTGGTCAAGGGATACAAAATTTCAGGTAGGAAGAATAAGTTTTAAGATATTTGTTGTACAACATAGTGACTAGTTAACATTGATCTATTGTATACTTCAAAGTTGCTAAGAGAGAAGATTTTTTAAGTGTTTTTACTAGCAAACAAAATGAATATGGGAGGAAATGTTTATGTTAATTAGCTTTATTTAGCCATTATTGGTGTATACATATTTCAGAACATCATATCATATACCATACACACATATAATTTCTATTTGTCAATTCAAAATACATTTATGTATATTATACATACATAGGTGTAAGTATATATGTGTGTGTGTGTGTGTGTGTGTATATATATATATATATATAAAATAAACATTAAAAAAAAACACAATGTTTTCAGAAAGATAAATGAAGCTAAGTGTCTTATACACTCAATTGTCCACTAACTCACGTACATTCTCTCGCATAAAAAAACACACACACATACATATGCCACATTTAAAACTTTTTATTTGGGGGCTGGGATTGTAGTTCAGCGGTAGAGCGCTTGCCTAGCACATGTGAAGCACTGTGAGCCTCAGCAACATATAAAAGTTAGTAAATAAAATAAAGRTATTGTGTCCATCTGCAACTAAAAATTTTTTTAAAAGATCTATTTTGAAATTTTCTTTTTTAATTTGGAAATAATTTCAAGCTTACATAAAGTTGCAAAATTAGCTGGGCATTGTGGCACATGCCTGTAATCTCAGTGACTCAGGAGACTAAGGCAGGGGCATTGCCAAGTTTGAGCCCAGCCTCTGCAGCTCCAAAAGATCTTATCTYAAAATCAGAAATAAAAAGGGCCGAGGATTTAGCTCAGTGTTAAAATGCCCCTGGGTTCAATCCCCAAAATAAAATAATAATACAAAGAACACTACATACCCTTTTACCTGTAGGGATTTAGCCATTGTTAACATCATCTTGCCCCTGGGTGCATGCTTTCTTTTTGTTTTTCTTCCTTCCTGTCTTCCTTTGTTTTTTTTGTTTTTTTTTTTTTTGGTGGGGTATAAACCTAGGAACATTTTGCCACTGAGCTTTATCCTAACCCTTTTTATATTTTGTTTTGTCACAGCATCTTGCTAAGTTGCCCAGGCTATCCTCCAATATGCTGTCCTTCCTAGCCTTTCAAGTTGTACCACTGTACCGAGCCATTGCACTGTCTTTTTCAAAATCTGACTGGGATTTTAAGACTTTCTGTCAGGAGTTCTTCTGTTGTTTCCCATCACATTAATATCAATTCTTTATCTAGTTTTCATTTACCACTTTTTGGCCTTAGCTTTATAAATTTTGAATTTTCCAAATCCAGTATATTCTTGCTTTACATGATTTGGTTACTGCTATTGAATACCCTTTCCCAGTCCTGCAAACACTTTGTTCAGCTCCTACTTTTCTTTCTTTCTTTTTTTCTTTCTTCATGTCTTCCTCCCTTTCCCTCTTTCTTTTCTTTTCTTCCTTTGGATTGCATCCAGGGGCGATTTACCACTGAGCTATATGCTCAGTCCTTTTTAAAACTTTTTTACTTTGAGGCAGGGTCTTGCTGAGTTGCTAAGGATCTTGCTAAGTTGCTTAGTCTGGCCTCAAACTTGTGATCCTCCTACTTCAACCTTCTAAGTTGCTGGAATTATAGGCATGTTTCATCACACCCAGCTTCTACTTATCTTTCAAAGTCCAGGTCATTTGTCAGCCTTAGCTTCTTCCCCAAGGAGTTCTCCCTCACCCCCATTTTTCTTCCTTTAGTTCTGCTTAGGTGTCTTTTCCCTGTGTTTCCATAATTAACTATAGTTTTATTAAAATACTTAAAACATTATATGGTAGCTGTTAACTTGTTTTGCTTCTCTGCCAAACCAACTTAATGAATTCATAGGAAGTATTTGTCTTTCATTTTTTCATTTCACAATCATTTGACACAGCCAAATAGACTTTTCTTTTTTTTCAGTATTAAAGATTGAATCCAGGAGTGCTCAATCACTAAGCTACCTCTCCAGCCTTTTTTTATTTTTTGAGACAGGTTCTTGCTAAGATATTGAGGCTGGCCAGGAACTTGCAATCTTCTTGGCAGCCTTGTTAATGAGTAGGATTTTAGGTGTGTACCACCATATCTGTCTTAGAATAAATATATCTTGTTTGTGAAAATGATTTGTAAAATAAGCAAGGTGTATCTGATACAATATCAATATTTATCTCAAACAGCAATCAACATTCTATATGATAGTGTAATGCTAGAGTAATTTCCCATAAAGTCAGAATAATATCAAGAATGTCTCTTTGATAATTGTTTGGCATTGGTCTGGATATTAAAAAACAAAACAAAACAAAAAAACATTCAACATCCAGAATGGCTTAGTGAGGATCTTGGAAAACCCTCTTCCCAAAAAGAACCAATAACACTGAAAATCATTATCAAAAAAACAACTTTTTAAAGATACTGGAAATTGATCCAAGGCACCTGACAAATTGAGAAGCATTTATTCAAGAATGTCTACTGAATCTTGGTAAGAGCAATGAGTCTGTGGTGATTTATCCTGAGGCTGTTCCAACCCCTGAGCCTCCAGCTCTGTGGTGCAGAAGTCCCACAAAGGAAGGGTAGGCTGAGAGGGTTTTGTTACTCGAGGGGGCTGACATTTGGAGCAGAGCACAGAAAATTCCGTGTGTAGGGAAGTTGCTGAAAGCAATTTCAATCAAGGAATTCAAACATCACACAGCTAGCCTGGGGTTTTGATACTGTTTCAGGAAAAGCCATAGACCAGTGAATGAGACAGAATTTTAATGAGGATCTTAGGAACAGTAATACCAAAGAAACAGCTTGGTGCGTTGCATTGATATGCCTGTAGTCCCTGTGTGGGAGGCAGAGACAGAGGGATAATTAATAATAACAATATAACAATAATTATAACAAGACCAGCCTGGGAAATATAGTGAGATCCTGTCTTCAAGAGAGAAAGCCAAAAAGGAYCATAATGAGATCATATTTACCCCATATGCCCTGGAAGCTTGTGCACATGGTAAGGTTCCAAGTATACTCAGGTTAGGGCTCTAACAAGCTACTTTTTGGGTAGATGTGAGTCCTTGTGAACACAAAAAGTAAAAACCAAAAAAAATATGTAAACTGAATAACTTTTAAATGTATTCCCTAAGCCACAGACAAATTCACTTGTAAAGGATACAAGTCTTATTGTTTTAATGAATCATTGACAACTAAGCTGGTGCAATTCCTAGGATGGGAGACATAAAAATAAAAACTGAGAGCAGACATCAGTGGCTATACTCTGTAGCAAAATAGACTCCACAAATCTGGTCTAGGCAAGTTACCATATAAATAAAGAACCACAACCATGCCCCTAAAGGGGACATGTTCTAACTCCAGAGTTGCTGTGGTATATTACTTAAAATGTCCAGTTTTTAACAGTCACAACAAAGTCACATTGAAACACTAGGAAAAAAGCAATGGGAATTTCCTCTGATGGGGCCTGTCTGTGTACATAACTAACAAAAGACTTCACATGATGGCTCTTAAAAGTATGAGGACAGTGAGTTAACATATAGATATCGGTAAAGAAAGAAATCATAAAAGTAATTAAGTGGAAATTCTGGAGGTAATAAGTACAATAATAGAAATTTAAAATTTACTGAAGAGGAAAAATTCAGCAATAGATTTGAGGTAGCARAAGAAAGTTCAGTGAACTTGAAGATAGATGATCTCTTCTGAAGGACAAAATTTAAAAAGTGAACAAAGACAAATGGAACATCAGAGGTCTATGGGACACCATCAAGCATTCCAACACATACAGAATGGGTATACCAGATGGAGTGTGGAAAGAGAGAAAGGAAATAGGAAAAGTATTTGAAGAAATAATAGCCATAGGTTCCCAAATTTGATGAGAAACATTAATCTACATATCCAAGAAATGTAACAAACTCCAAGGAAAACATAAAACAGATTTGTACCTAGATATGTCATACTTAAAACTATTGAAAAACAAGGAAAATCTTGAAAGCAGCAAGAAAAACAATTCCTTCCTCACTGGGCTCAAGGCATTCTAGCAATTCTGAAGACAGGAGGATGGCAAGCTCAAGGCCAGCCTCAGCAATTTATAGTGAGGCCCTAAGCAATTTAATGAGACCCTGTCTCAAAAAAGAAAAAGGGATGGGGATGTGGCTCAGTTGTTAAGCGCCCCTGGGTTCAATCCCCAATACTAAAAAGTAAAAAAATAAAAAATGAAATGGTGGCACTTACTCGTAATACCAGCAACTCTGAAGACTGAGGCAGGAATTTAGTGACACCCTGAGCAACTTTGTAAGACTCTCCTGTCTCAAAAAAGAAAAAGGTGATAATTCAGTGGTTAAGCACT